GCGCGCACTTAACCGCTAAGCCACGGGGCCAGCCCAGAAGGCCTCAATTCTTGCCATCGTCTCTCCACAGGCTGATTGGGTGTCCTCATGACACGGTTGCTAACTTCCCCAAAACAAGCAGCCCAAAGGAGAGAGCAAGGAAGTGGCAGTGCCTTTTTTGCCATAGTTTCTGAAGACATCCAGTGTCACTTCCACTATTTTTTTATTCATTAGAAGTTAGTCACTAAATCTAGCCCACACTCAAGGAGAAGATAATTAGACTGTACCTCTTAAAGGGAGGAGTATCAAAGAGTTTGTGGACATATTTTCAAACCAGGAGTATCAAAGAGTTTGTGGACATATTTTCAAACCACTGTAAGAGGTTGTTGGTTTGTTCTTTGTGTTTCTCACAACAGTGGCTTGAATTTGCTTTTGCCTTTTATTTCTGGAGCCAGCCCCCTTGCCACATGGATGCTATCCAGGTTTCTGCTAACACTGTTACTCCATAGGGGCCCTAGGGACATTTTGGGTGGAACAATTTCTGAATGTGTGGGATGGTCCCACACCTTGCAATCTGTCATTGAAATACCACCAAAACCACAAGCAGTCATTGGGGCAACGAGAAAACGTGTCCAGATGCCTGAGGGCCATGCCACCTTCAGTTGAGAACCACTGAATGTTTTTCATTGTACCATACTTGTTAGCATTTTACTGTGATACTTCCAATTTTATTTCACCTCATTAATGCATTGTATCTGAAATAAGTTTTTCTCTTGGGCAGGGAAAATATATTTTAAAACTCCTCTTGTTCTAGTTTATGTTGGAAGTTATTTGCTTGCTTATGTTTTATGCTCATTCTTTTCCCATTCCCTCCTTGCTTTTCCCCTTACCTGGTAAAATTTCTCACTACCTCTTAGGTTCTGCCTAACTTTTACTTCCCCTGCAAAGCCTTCCCTACCTCTCCCAGCAAAAGTTAATCCCTCCTGGAGCGCTCAAATCATACTTGCACATTATTTTGTAATTTATGTCTTTATATATATATCTCCTCCCACTAGATTGTAATCCCTGAAGGGAGATCCTCTTTGTGTCCCTGAGTTTAACATAGTGCTTAATTAATGCTTTTTGATTCAACATATAGTTCGTAATTGGCAATATATAGCCTTTAGGTATGAATCACTTAATCTTTTCTTCCCCTCATGCGTAGGAGAGAGGTTTTAATATTTTTTTTAATGAGATGTATATTCAAAAGCATTTAAATTTGTAAGCTATAGCGAGTCACTTGGTAGAACCAAAATCAGACTCATGGCTCCCCAATGTTTTGTCCTGGCTTAAAACAGCTTTGTTCATCCATTAATGTATTAATGGGGAGAACATTTTAATTCTGTGCTCTGTCCTCTACTGAAAAGTAAATCTCTGCTGTGAAAGTTAACATTTCGATTTGATATCAAAATATATCTTTGGCAAGTTAAATTGCGTATATTCTTATTTAATGATTTATCTCATTAACATTTTCTAGGCCAAAGCAAAAGGTAAAATTCAGATTTATGAAAAGGAAATTAAAGGAAACAAATTTTGGACATGAACTTTTTGAAAGATCTTGGTTCATATTATCCAGTCTTTTATTTTATCTGCCTGAGCGCTTGACGCTAAGATTTACATCCTCTAGTTTTCCCCAAGTATGAGCTTTCAGGCATTTCTCCTCACCAAGAGACCAGAAATCATTTATTCTATTTAAAATTATACTATTTGGTTATTTGGAGGACAAGAAATGTTTGTGTTTGAAGTTCATTAAACCTAAAATATCACCATTAATTTTTAAAATCATTTTTGTGGATAATTTGGTAAATGGTAGTTAAAAACTCATTTCTTACTAAAACCAAGTAACAGTTTGCTTTAAGCCATTGACTCATTGTCACCTTTTCTAAACTCATTGCTGGATTGTAAATAAATGTATAGGATGGGAAAAGAAGATCAATATGAGCTCTCTATTTCCTCTTTCTTTGAAATGATGATCACTAAGGCCTCAAAGGAGAGAGAATTTTGGATACCATAGTGAAAATAAATTCTTTACATTTCGCTGGTTTACCTTTGTATCTTCCCAAGGGAAATAGTTGAAATGCAAGTTTAACCTTATCTTATTCTAGCAATGATGTGTATTTTCTGTCACTTATAAAAAAGTTAATTGTTAGAGCACTGCAGTTTTGATTTGTCTCGTCTGCCTTCCCTCAGTTTCATTTTGAGTGTTGATTCCTGAGATTTGATCAGGACAGTTCTCTATGCATACTGGTTTGAGGTTAATGCAATTATCCAAGATTCTTAGTTCTGGGTCTTATTGAAAGGAGAAGGAAATGCATCTCTAAATATTACATTGGAGCATTTTGAAACTTAAAAACTGATATGGAAACTGGCAGCTGGTCTTTGGCTTTACCATCGTGTCTTTAAAAACATATAGTTTAAACATTTAAAATAGAATAAAACCCATTGAACACAATACTTAGGTCCTGTGGATTATGCTAAAAATGAAAGGTCAGTGAACTTGGGCTTGGTATAACTAGAAACTATTTCAGACATAAAAAATTTGAAGGAAAAATGTCCTGCATCTTCCTTGACTTGGAATGATTATGTAGGAAATGCCTCTCTTCTTACAAGTTATGCATAAATCTGTATACACATGTTTCATTGATTGTTTTAATAAAATTGGATTTGGGTCTCATAAAGAAATTGTCAGTGTGAGTTGTGATTCAGAATTAGCAGGAAAAGATTTATTTATTGAAATATTTTCCTTAGATCATTTTGTTTAGGACTAAAATAGAAAAATTGCACTGTCCAACCATCTTTAATATAAGTGAGAACAAAATTTAGCATATGCAATAATAGCTAAACTCAACGTTGCCTTTTTCTATTTCATCCTTTGTTTTAATTTTCGTTACATGGATAATGTGTTTTTAGTTCTTACTTGCTAAAGCAATTTTGTGTTTCACTAATAAGTAATGTTTTGTGTTCTCTTCACTATCATTATTATTGATTAAAAATTTGCAGTTTGTCAAACAGGTACATTTTTCCAATCATCCTTGATGAACTGCCCTTGACTTCCACAGTATTGCTGATTTAAGGATTCAAGAGTGGCCTGAAATTATTCCTGCCTTAATTTAGCAAATGCAATTTGGTGCCTCTGCTTTTGAAATTGCTAAACTAATTATTGCTCATCTTGTCTGTATTTTTTGTTTCCTCTATCAGCCAATGCCACTCCTAAAACAGAAGATGAATCATTCCATCACAATGTCGCAGGAACAGATTGCTAGTCTTTTAGCTAATGCTTTCTTCTGCACATTTCCACGGCGAAATGCTAAGACGAAGTCGGAGTATTCTAGTTACCCAGACATTAACTTCAATCGGTATGTTTTCAGAGAATGCCTCTTTAACAATGAAATAGAGAAGGGTGGGAGGAACTAATAACATTATTGAGTGATTAGCCATAGGCCAAACATTTTAGGTACAATTATCTAATTTAGTCCTTATTATACACTGAGTTAAGTGATATTTTTGCTATTTTGCAGGAGAGAGAACTCAAGTTCATAGCAGTTGCAGAACTTGTTTAGGGTCCAGGAGCCAGTAAGTCACAGAGCTAAGGTTTAATCTCAGGTCTCTCTTACTCCAAGGCCCATGTTCTTTCCACCCTGTCAGATTGTCCTCTGAGTGCCCTGGACTTTTTATACTTGTTAGGTGTGATTATTCATGGGAAGGTTTATTGTACGTTATATCCTTTGTATGCTGAAATAATGTTAAAGCTGAAGTACAAGTCCTCCTTTCTGTAAAGTGTGAGTTTAAAGTCACAAGGCTGACTATCTTATGAGACTTGAAAAATATACTCGTTAATGTGAAAAGCAATGGTGAAAGTTAACTTTGACTTTTTATAGACATGACTAATTTATCAATGTAATATTTTAAAAAGAAGATAAAAGAATGTTTAAATTATTTGACTAAAGTAATATAATACATTGTGAAGATATTGATAAAGTTTCAGATTCTAGCCATTTTCCCAAATGATTACTCTCTCTGTCATCTACACAAATAAAAACATTGTAAAATCTTGGCAAATGAATATCAGTTTTTTCTCCCTCCCACTCCCCCCTCCCAAACCTCTCTTTCTTTCTTTCTTTTTTCACCTGAGAATTATCTTTATAGCCACTGTGAGTGGAATGTGAGTTTTCTTCCCTAGTGTCAAGAGTGGGCCTTCAGAAAATTGTTATAATATATGCTCCTCTTTCCCAGTAGGTTGGGTATAATGTCCTCCTATGCTACCTTACTCTAATCCCCATCTCCTGCCTCTCTGGGTGGGATGCAGAGTAGGAGGTGCAGTCATGGAGCAAAGTCACACTTTTGTTTGCCATTTTGTTTTTGTCTTCAAAGTTGAATGGTACAGTACTGCCACTTATATTAGTTTACCTTTTTAATGTTGTTTCTTTGAAAACATTTTATTTTGAATTAATTTTAGATGTATTGAAAAGTTGCAAAAATAGTACCTGGAATTCCTTTATACAACTGGCCTTATGTTCACATTACTATGTAACCATACTATGTCGCCATGGTAAAATTATCAAAACCAGGAAGTTAACATTGGTATAATACTATTGACTGAACTATAGAGCTGATTTGATTTCCACCAATTTTTTTACTGTATTTTTCTGTTCCAGGATTCTCCCAGTATCCCACATTGCATTTAGTTTTCCTAGTTTCCTCCACCCCAGTTCCTTAGTTTTTCCTTTTCTTTCATGACTGACACTTTTGAAGACTACTCATCAGTTATAGAATGTTACTCAGTCTGAGTTTGGCTGACATTTTTTCACAAATGGAATTTCTGCATTTTTGGCAGAAATACCACAGAACTGATGTTGTGTCCTTCTTGGTGCATCATATCAGTGGGCTCATGATGTCGATCTGTCTTATTACTGGTGATCACCTGGCTAAGTAAGATGATGTCTGCTGGCTTTTTCCACTGTACAGTTTCTGTCTTTTCCTTTGGGATTAGTAAATATCTTGGGGGAGATATGTTGACGCTATGCACATGTTTTGCTTCACATTTCCCCCCACTAATTTTAGTATCCATTGGTGGATCTTGTCTGCAGAAATTATTACGGTAGTATTTACCTATTGTGATTTTTCTATTTCCCTCTTTCCTTCCACATTTATTAATTGGATTGTAAGGAGGAGCTATCCCATCTCATTTTTTTTATATCAGGATAGACTTATGGATATTTATTTTATTCTATGAGTTAAAATTTAACACTGTCACTATTTATTTTGCTGCTCAAATTATTCTAGCTTTGGCATTAGGGCTCCTTCAGGTTGGCTTCTGTGTTCTTTTATCAAGCCCCCAACCTTTATTTTGAGTGTTTTCTAACTTTCTGGTATCACAAGATGTTTCAAGCCCATCTTATATTTTCCCTGACCCAACTCTGGAATCAACCATTTTTCCAAGGAACCTTGGTTCATTTTATTGGAGAATGGTATTTAGAGACCAAGATCTGGGGGATCGGTGTGCTCATTGCTACTAGACTGTCATTGTTTCAAATGCCACTGACTTTATATGGGCAGCATTTCTGACAACTCCCTCAGTGGAGAAATAGATCCACAGTTCTCTGCAGTGACACAGAATGTTAGCCCCAAAGGCGTTATTTTTAGCCTCTTGCAATTTGGAATGCTTCTCTCTCTTAAGATGAGAAAAATTCTAGAATTCAGCTGGTTAGTACCTAATATAAATTTTTATTACAACCAAGACACTTCAGTACATTTATTGTGTTTTATTTATTTGTTTGGTAAACGAAAGCATAGCAGATGATTTGAATATAAGACTACTTTTAGACTGTAATAATTCTTGGGTTATATTTTTAAGGCTCTCAAACATTAAAATATCAATGAAAATCTTTGTTATTATTTATGGTTCCTCTCTGTTATCAACTGTAAGTAGGAGTGGGGTAACAAATAATAAAAAATAATGTCATCTGTGTAAGAGAATTTCTTTAAAATCCCAGCAAGATAGTATCCATTTTATATCATATCCTCTTTGGTTGTGTAAATACCAGTTGTAAGGTGCATGTTTTTAACCTCTTTTTTCCAGATCGGTACATTAGCTAAGCTTGTTTTAAGAGAATAGTATTTAGTCAGTTTAGTTCAAATATACAGTGAGCAATTGCAATATTCTCCACAGTACATTAAGTGCCTTGGGGTACAAGAGAAAGGACAAGCCAGTTTCTGACTTCTGTGCCTTTTTCTCCTCCATGTGGCTTTTATTCCTCCTTCAAGCCTCATTTCACATACCACTGTTTTCTGATAGCTCTGATCCTGCCAGGATAGGTTTGCTACTCCTCTGGTTTCCCATGAAAGCCTATATGTACCGCTGTTGTATAGAGGAAAGGTACACAGCATTTTGACACTCTATTAGAAAAGGATATAATTTAATAAAGGAAACCTTCCTTGAGGAAATAAGTTTTGAACTAAGTACATAAGGGTAGGTAGGAGTTTTTACCAAGGAGGAAAGGAGAAGTGATTGCATTCTAGGCAAGGGGAACAGCATGTACAAAGGCACTGTGGAGAGAAGGGCACGACTTGTCCAGGGACTGAGAGAAGACCAGGGTGGCTGCTGCACAGGAAGAAAGAAGAAAATCTGCAAAAGTAGGTGGGGGCCCATAGGCCATCCTAAGGCAATAGGAGGAAGTCATTAAAAGAATTGATATTGGGCAGGGAGGGGGGAAGCTGGTACACTTGCTCAGATTTACATTTTCAGAAGTTTGTTCTGACTACAATGTGGGAACCACATGGAGAGGGGCCAGAGTAGGAGTTTACCCAGTTGGGGAGGCTATTGTAATGTATCAGGAAAGAGAAGATGGTAGCTGGGGTAATGTAGTGGTGGGGGTGGAGGTGTGAAGACATTTGAAGAGCAAGTCAGTGTGATGGTGATGGACAGGATTGGCGGGATGGCAAAGAGAGGCTTCCAGGGTCCTTCCTAGGTTTGTACCATCCGGCGTGTACCTTTAGTCTTCTCTACTTTTCCTACTGTACTGCCTACCCTACTTTGTTATAATTGCTTGTTTAATCCTTTCAGTGAGACAGAGATCTTATGTGTCCTGTTCTTTGTTGTTTTCATAAAATCTCATGCACTGTAGGCCTTCATAAATTCTTGTTAAATTAATGAAAATAAATTTTACAGATGAGATATTTGAGATGTTAAGTGACTGGTTAGTGGCAGAGTACTAGGACTGTAACTTAGACTCCTTGTTCTCAGTGTATTGTCTTTTACTTTTCAAACTGCATCTTACTCTTAGGAATTAGGAGATGTTTTATTTTTATGCCACACATAATTAAACAGTTTTTACCTTTGATTTCTTTAGTATTTCAGGTAGGATTGAGAGAAAACAAATAACATTGGTATCTGCAATTGCAGTTGTGTAAAGAACCTGTTTATTAAATATGTTATTTTTGCTTATTTGAAAAATTATTCAAGAACTTTCTCTACTATACAAGTAGACTCACTAGTAGTTAAGGGCTGTGCAACTCTCACAGGTTTTCTTTTTTAATATAGAAAAGGAAATGGTCAAATTTTGTAAGTAAGTAAAGAAGTGGAAATTTAATTTTGTAGAAATATAATTATCTGTTTCCATGAAGAGTATTATATTAATAAGAAGGATTCTCCAAAGAGTAAGTAGCCTCTCTGTTTATTTGGAATAAGTGTTTTTCAGCTCTAGGGTCTGCCAGAGATGCTGTAAATTATAAAATGTCTATCCAGAATTCAGAAGACAGTGGTTTGGGGGTTGTTTTTCTGGTGTTTGGTTTTGGTAAGAAGTAGCTCTAATTAATAATGTTGGAGAATTAGTGTTTCAGTGGCCACTTACAGTTTGTTTCTGTGGAATGAGTAATCAGCTAGTGTATGTTATCTTGATGGTCCGTAAGATAGACCTTTGATGTCTTAGTTACAAGCTTTCTCAATTACAATTAAGTCAAAGAATTGTAGACTTGTTAATTTTTTGGATAAGAACTGTGCGTTCTTGTACTAAGTTAATGTTGTATTACAAAGCCTCTTTAAAAAAATTATTTTTAAAAACGATATTATGGATATTTTCAAACAGTAAAAAATGAGAACAGTATAGTGAACCCGTGTTTTAATCACCCAACTTCAATACTTACCAGTATTTTTTTTTTTTGCTCTTTTTTACCTATCCAGCCCCACATTTTTTTTCTAGAAGATTTTAAAGCAAATTCAAGACATTGTTTCACCCATTAAGAATTCAGTATTTAAATTCTTCACAGATGACTTTAGTCTTATATCTTGGTTAGATGTTTATAGCCCTTTCCTCAGAAAAGCTTAAGGCTCTCTGGATAACTATAAATGTACATTCCC